TCCTCCTCCTTCTTCTAACTTTCACTTTCAGCCTCTGAAGTGCCCAAAGCATCCAAAACTTTTCCAAAGTGCTTCAGAAGCTCCGAACTGCTTCAGAAAGCCTGAATAAGCCAGCGCTTCGCTCTGGGCATGCTGCTTCTGCGGCCGAAGTGGCCCCAGATCCGAAGTGCGGTCCAAAGCCTCACACAGCCCTAATAATTACTAAATGACTGTGTAGTTAGCGTCTTGTGTAGACATGGGCACTGAGTATTCAACACTACTTTATGTGCCCTTATTCACAGTACATAAAGACACCCAGCATTTTGAAGCATTTAAGTACCTAAAATGCATATATAGGCATCTACTGAGATTTTCCAAGATACCTTACTTCCATTGAAATCAGCAGAAATTAAATGTTTCTGGAAATCCCACTCAGCACATATCATTCCCTAAATACATTTAATATTCTGATTTGAATTCCTAAATCTAGGTTCACTTATCTAACTTTAATGCACTAGTTTAAAAATATTGCTGACAAACTAAGCATAAAAATATGTTAGGGGCCACAAAAACATTGATTCATATAAAGAAGAATGACAAAGGACCATGCATATATTAACATGAATACGAACGGAAAGTTTTAATACTCACATGAATTTAAATACTGTCATTCAGAAATGGTTTGTTTGTAGGACTCTTAAGACAATATTTAACTTTAGAATCCATTTAAATATTAAAAAACATACCTTAGAGGTTTGTAATGGTGGAAAATGTAGAAATGTTTATATGACACATATTTAAGAGCCAGATTCAATGTAGATTTTTGGATAAAACATTTCAAAAGGCAGCTAATATCAATAATACTTTGTATTTTTATTATTTTTAAGAGTCTTCAAACCCTATATGGACCTTAATTTTTAAAAAATCAACAAGAGTTGGGAGGCAATATAGCAGTATAATACCTTGAATATCCCAATTTTACACAGAAGAATGTAAATGAAAAGGAAATGGAAACAGAACTTTAGATGCAGACCTTTGAGGTTATTTAAGATACCTAAGCCCAGTTGAAATGATATACAAGTTATGTGGATTAAAATAAGGAGGAGTTTGATGCCTTTGAGAATTTGGGCTCAGGGCACAAGGCAAGTTAATGACAGAGCTGAGAAATGTGTCGCAGTCTTTCAACTCCCAATTCTGTGGCTGAACTATTACATAATTTTCCCAGTAAGAAATAGGTGTATTTGATTGTGTTCACTACCTCTTACATATATTTTTGAGTCTTGCTTTGAAATTTTCACCTACAAAGTAGAAGAGTACAGGATCTAGGCAGCTATTCATTGCAGCTAGGCACAGGGTAATGACAACCCCTTTGTGCAAGATACACTTGCTTTCAGTATCATTTTTCATCTGTGCCAGATGGACAGTTCTTAGTATGTGATATGGCAAGAAACAAAGGAAGAATATGAACAGAGTAAGGATGATGGTTAACCTTGCCTTCTTATGACAGGTTCTTACCCTAGCGTTTGTAGTCTTGGCCTTAAGTAAGGCTTTGATTGCAAACACATAGCACACAACAATTGTGCAAAATGGCAGGGAGAAGCCGATTCCCAGGACAATATAGTTTAACAGAATGATCTTGTCTGTATTGTTTGCTTGGAGATCCAAGCACTTTGTTGAGGAATTAGTTGGGGTGATTCCAGTGTCCAGCAGTTGGCTGCTACTTGCCATCACAAAAGCCCATATTACAACACATATGATCCTGGCATACTTTGTGCTGGTTACTTGGAAACATTTGAATGGGTAGACAATGACCATGAAGCGAGCAACACTCAGCATGGTAAGAAAATAAATGCTGCAGTACATATTGACGTACAAGATATAGGACACAATTCTGCAAAATGTATCTCGAAATATCCAGTCAGATTTCATCAGGTAATAGGTGGCCCGGAAAGGCAAAGTGGACACAAACATGAGGTCTGAAATGGCCAAATTCAGCATGAAAATATTCCCTGGAGACTTTCTCTTACAAGGTTGTAGGAAAACATATATGGAAAGGCCATTTCCAACAACACCAAATGTGAATATGGTCACATAAGCAATGGGATAAACAACCTGCTTGAACTTATCCGTCGTACAGTTGTCTGACGCGCCGTTAGTCCCATTCATCTCTAAAACTGGCACAATCTGGAGGGAGGCTTACTGTGTCTCTGCCAAATTAAAAAGCAATTGTTGCAAATGTTGACTCTCCAAATTCAGCATTATAAACATATAATTACATGTGAATTATACAGTCTGCAAACAGCAGGGGAAAATAATAGTTGGTTACATTAATAACTATTCACTCTGTCCCAGTAAATATAGATGCACTGTAATGTTTGTACAGCACTTACAAAGTGTAGACTGATATAACTGCCCACTGTCTTTGCTGTTTCAGTAGATAGCCAAGTTGGGCACTTATACACATGTGGGGCGTCTGCTCTGACACACTGGACACCCAATGTGTTGGAGCAGATTTGATTAATCGAGTCTGCTCAAGCATGTAAATTGACGCACGCTGGCAGCCTTGTGCATCATGTGTATCAGTGGGGCAGCACACGTCAGTGCTGAGAAAATAGCGGTGGTGCGCTTTGAACTAAAACACATTCGGTGTGCTTTAGTTCAAAGTGCACTGCTGCCATTTTCTGAGCGCTGACATGCACTATACCACTGATACACCTGCTCCAGACATAGCGCTGGGCACTTTTAATTAGTGTGGCTCATTAATTAAGAGCCTCCAGCACTGCATCAGCACCACATGTAAGAATGCCCCTGATTTCAGTTTCTTAAAACCAAATATAGGGCCTACTGACAGGTCACCTAAAGCTGTAATCTTCTCTGATCAGGCATGAAAGCAAAACTGATGTTGGTCATTTTGTGGATGGAAGATCTTGAATCATAATGGCAGAAGCAAGTAACTGTGGGGGAATGGCTGATGGGCTGCTGGCCCTCTAAGTAAGCCTTGCCTGCCCTTGCAGGGCACCAGGCTAAAGTGCTAGGACAACTTAATAATGAACACCTGCCCTCTAGCAGGCACTCAAACCTTCCCTAGGCTTAACATAAAACAGGGCCACCTGTACATATAACCAAGCCCTTCTCTGCCCCAGGTACCTTCCTTTGTTCCTTGCCTTACAGAGTTTCTCATTCAGAGCCCCTGCCAGGTCAGGAGTCCTGCTGCTCTGCTATCATTGAGCTCCATAGCTACTAGGGCAAGACTAACTGATTGGTGCAGGCTCTGGGCTTATATAGTTCAAGCCTGAGCCCTCTTCTGGTCAGGTGAGTGCCTCATTAGCTCCCCTCTGCCACCTGCAAGCAGTCTCTCAGGCTGCTTGCTCCCTTAAAGGAGCAGGAACATCCCAGTGCCTTTTAAAGTCGAGCTCTTTTCCCGTTCACTGCTTTAGCACCACTTGTCCTTTCATAGCGTTGCATCCCAGAGCTCCACATTTTACCTGTCCCCATGAGTAAGCTCTGTGACACTGCAGTGTGCATGTGCTGGGTGGGGTTTTGTTTTTCAACAGGGCATAATTCAGTTAAAATGAAAATAAATGATCACCTGAATACTAAAATGATGTTTTCCTCGGCAAGGGCTAATTCCTTACTAAATTACAGCTTTTTATCCCAAACTGATTTGGCATGAACACTGTTTTTTTAAAAAAATAGAATCCACATAATTGTTATTTAATAATGGTGAACTATGTATCTTCATTCATTCATACTGGGAATTGCTGAAACATTTTTAGATTCACTGTATCCCAAATTTTTATTTTGGGGTAGGGATGAAGTGAGGAAAGCTTTAGCCTAGGAAGTTTAAACTTTCAGGAAATGTTGCCCCACTATAACAGCAATAAAGACAGGCATGGTTTTGATGGTAGAGTACAGGTCTGTGAGTAGTACTAGTTCCTATAATCCAGTACCTAATTTGTTAAGAGTTTTTCAAGAAAGTAACTATTTTAAAAAATATCCGTCTCTGAAATTACCCCTCTAGAAAATAAATATAATCATGTCTACCAATATCACAGACAGTGACAGTTCCTATATACAATGGATATTGGCAACAACAGTGCAGAAAAGCATACCTGGGTGCCTGCACCCTATTTATGTTAAAGCTAAGCAGATCACCAGTTCATTCAGATTTAAGTTTAGGAAAGCATCCCTGTTCAGAAAAGCACTTAAATTCAGGTTTAAATCCCAATGATGCTATTTTACAGGCCCCAGCCTTCAGTGGCCGAAAGCCTAATAGAGGGATTCTCCTTATTTGCAACCCTCTCCCTCAGCCGAGAAGAGAAGTGTTATGGCAGAATTCCCTATGGAGGAGAAAAAATAATTTGCAATAAAAGCAATGTCAAGTGGTTTCATTTACTCTTTATATCAAATCACCTTCAGGAAGCTTCTCTGTCTGAAATCAGAAACAATGTTTTCCCTTTACAGGTTTGCTGATGCTGATTTTCTTATTTTTCTGAAATCCAACATGGTCCAAGGTGTTGTAAGATAAATATTTTATTGTATTTTGCTAGGGTCAGAAGTCCTGGACTCTAAAAAAAAAAAAAAATTAAAATCAGAGTTCTGCAATCTGTTTTAAAGTTTGTGCCATGTATCTTTAAAAATATGAGTGAATTAAGCCTGTGTGGTAAGCATAAAAGCTAAGGGAACTGAGGTACAATGAAGCTAGTACCTTGCTGAAAGTCACCCAGCAAGATACTGAGAGCTGCCTATCTCCAATGAGATCACAACAGAAAGGAGTAAGAGGGAGATTCAAATACTGCCTTGGAGAAATGTACCTTTTAACATTTTTAAAAGGGAAAGGGAAATTGCTGCTTGGAAGTACACATTAGCTGTTGCAATCTAACTCAGAAGTGAAGCAAGGCAACTATGCGGCATTTGGGGTAGCATCAGGCTGCACTGTCAGCACTGATAGCAGGGTGTGGACAGCTATCAGCTGATACCCTGGTCGCAACCCCTCAGTTACATTACCAGTCTAACAGTTTGGTAATCTTACATTACCAATCTACATGATCCTATAATGATACAAGTTACCTAAATCTCTATAACTTTAACCCTGAATGACATGTATCACTACAGAATTATGCACACGTAACAGCAACAGCAGTTTATATCAATAGCATTTGATATCAGTAAAATTGTTATATCTGTCTATAGCAGAAGTGAAGAGTCATCATAGAACCAGCTGGGGAGGGGGTACACACCAGGCCTACAGCACAGTAGCTAATGCATTTTAGATTAGGTGACTTAGCTGAGACCAGCCACAAAATCTTCGTTGAATTACTGATCCCTCAAGAGTTCTCACAGGTGTTACGTTTATGGTGCATCTAGACAGCCATGGGTCCTGGAGCTATCCCCAGCTGATCCTTAGGAATCAGGTTGGGGCAGCTCCTGGTCCTAAACTAGAACCTGGGACTTCCTGTCCCTGCTCCTGACATTCAGCTGAGGATCAGGCAAGATCAGCCTGGGGGCAACCAGACTTAGATGAATTAAAATGTCTATAAAAAGTTATAGACACTTTGGAAACGTAATAATATGGGTCCTGATTCTGCTCCCTGTCACATCAGACAGTGATGGTGGATGGGCTGCTCTTGGCCTGGAGGTGGGCAGTGGGGTCCAACAGGGTTCGGTCCTTGGACCAGTGTTATTTAATATCTTCACCAGCAATTTGGACGAGGGTGTGGAGAGTACCCTCTCCAAGTTCACAGATGATATCAAGTTATGGGGCAAAGTTAACACACTGGAGGGCAGGGAGCAGATACAGGCTGACCTGGACAAGTTGGATCAATGGGAGGAATGAAATAGGATGCAATTCAACAAAGATAAATGTAAGGTACTCCACCTAGGAAGGAGGAATCCCCAGCACACCTACAGGTTGGGGGATGACCTCCTCAGCAGCTCAGAGGCTGAGAGAGATCTTGGAGTCATAGTTGACTCCAAGATGAACATGAGCTGGCAGCGTAACAAGACCATCAACAAAGCCAATTGCACCTTGTCGTGTATTAGCAAATGCATGACCAGCAGATCAAGGGAGGTGATGCTCCCCACTCTATGCAGCATTGGTCAGGCCACAGTTGGAGTACTGTGTTCAGTTTTGAGCGCTGCACTTCAAGAGGGACATGGAGGATCTGAAGAGGGTTCAGAGGAGGGCCACTCACATGATTAGTGGCCTCCGTGAAAGATCCTACAAGGGGAGGTTAAGAGATCTGGAACTCTTCAGCCTTTACAAGAGATGGCTGAGGGGTGACCTTGTAGCCGCCTATAAGTTTATCAAGGGAGGACACCAGGGAATTGGTGATGCACTATTTACCAGAGTGCCCCAGGGAGTAACTAGGAATAATGGGTGCAAACTAGGAGAGAGTAGATTTAGGTTAGACATTAGGTAGAAATTTTTTCAGTAAGGATGGCCAGAATCTGGAATGGGCTTCCAAGAGAGGTGGTTCTATCACCTAACTTGGAGGTCTGCAAGAGGATGCTTGACAGTCACCTGGCTGGGGTCGTCTGACCTCAGTCCTCTTTCCTGCCAGGGGCAGGGGGTCGGACACGATGATCCATTGTGGTCTCTTCCGACTCTACAATCTATGAATCTATGAATCAGACCCACACCACTATAACATACTCTTTTATTTGTAACTTACATATGCCAGTGAAGTGAGACCAGAATCTAACCTGGAACCATTGAATAATATTGAAAATTGCATGGCCAATCCCACTAAATACACATAAATCAGCCACAAGACAAAGATTACCTAACAATCTATAACCTCAAATCCTCAGTTAAGTAAAGAACTAGATCTTAAAACAACCATCTACTAAAACAAGGTTAAGATTCCTTAGCCTGACAATGTAAAATGTATTTCTGTTATATTTTAAGAGAAATAGATTATGACACAGCAGTATTTATATTAGATATGAAAAAAGCAAATTCTCTAGTCTGATTTTAAGAAATGCAGAACATCCACAATCCCAGCTACATTAAATGTACCTGCAAGTGCACAGAAATTCTGAAATACTGAATTCTCTATACCAATGAGGAAGTGTCATAATACATCTTTTAAAATTATTTTCTTGATACCAAATACCATCTCTGCTGTTTAAACCATATATTTTTCTCCAAACAGTTTTCTATGGGATTTCAAGTTTGCCATTAGATTAGCAATGTGTTATTATCTATGTTATATTACAGGCATCAGCTACTGCCCTGTCAGAAAGCCAGATGTATGGACATTGGACAAAAAATGAAGTTCTGATTCACTTTGTCCTGTGAATGTTATATTTCAGTTCAAGCCAAACAGTTTCTTTCCTTTATTGTTGGTTTGGAATTAGCATTGATTTAAGCTGAACTGTGCATTCATTAACAGAGACAGGACATTTTATTTACCCTCATGCACACCTTCTAATGAATTGGTAATTTTGTAAACAAAGATTCTAGTTAATACAATCTGTACTTTGCACCTAGCAAGAAAATTAAATTCATTCACTCAGATTTTTGGTAAACTACCATTAGTTTATTATCTTTCATATTTCAAAATATTTGTGATTATAGAAAACTACCTTGATGTCCTTTCTTAAGGAGAAAAGAACTTTATTTAATAAACACCTAATATTTCAAGCAGCTAGAAGACCTCTTGTAAGTAACGGGGAAAAGTAGTTAATAATCTTTACCAACTTAAATACTGAACTAAAAAAAATTACAAACTTGTCCTACCTTAGTATGTGTAGCTTTCAGTTAATTCAGTAAATTAGTTTCTTCTTCAGCTTTTGCTATTTGAAACTGCCAGCCTGCTACTGGAGGGGGGAAAAGAACCTACATCTATTTATATCACGACCACAGCCAATGACAAGTAAAAGGAAGTCAATATTTTTAGCAGAAGTTTTATTTCTCCCGGAAGATATATTCTTAGGTCAAGAAAAGGCATTTTCTCCCATACTACATCTATATCTTTTTCAAAAACATATCAAAAAAGGCTCTGCAGTTACGTAATACATCTGGAAACTTCTTAACTACTCGCATTTCTATCTATGGACTTCAGTAATCAAACCAGTAAATTGCTGGAGTACCATAGAATAATTAAAAACATACTTTCCCTGAGAAAATATTATATTTTCCCAGTGGGGTACTGGGAAGAGACAGCCTCCACCTCACTCCTCTGGGGAGGAGGCTCTTCTCAGCGAGACTGGCTGACCTACTTGACCGGGCTTTAAACTGAGCCTGCCAAGGGATGGGGGGATTACCACCACTGCAAGCCCACTGGGCAGTTTTTGTAAACCCAGCAGGCTAAGGCACTCAAGGGAACCCAACCCTATGCCAGCTCCAGAGCAATCTGGACACCCAATGGGACACTTACTTGCCTGTACACCAGTGGCAGTACCCTAGGGAACAAACAGGAGGAACTGGTCCTCCTGCTAAACCAAAAAGATTACCGTCTCATAGGGATAACAGAGAGCTGGTGGGACTCCACCTATGACTGGGCCACAGGTATAGATGGCTATACCTTGTACTGGAGAGATCATGGGCACAAAAGGGGCAGGGGGATAGCTTTTTATGTCAAGGAAAGCCACGCGTCCCTGAAAGCTGACATTAGCACCCGGGGGGGAAGATTGGAGACTCTCTGTGTCAAAATCCATGGCGAACAAGGCATAGGTGTCACAATGGTGGGGGTCTACTACAGACCTCCTAGCCAGGATCAAGAGCTTGACCAGAAATTCGCCAGGGAACTAGCTGAGGCTGCATGCTCCCGGTGCATGGTTGTCATGGGAGATTTCAACTACCCGGACATCTCATGGGAAGAGCGCTTGGCCAAATCCGAACAATCGCAAAGCTTCCTCATGTGCATGGATGAGCTCTATCTGACTCAAGAAGTCTATGGACTGATGAGAGGCAAAGCGCTGCTCAACCTGGTACTGGCAACAGGGATGCCAGTAACCTAATGATCGAAGGGAAGCTGTGAGACAGCAACCATGAGCTGATCACCTTCACCATCTGCTGTAAAGCAGGAAAGTCAGTCAGCAAAGCAGAAGTCCTCGACTTCAGGAAAACTGACTTCTACAAGCTCAGGAGGCTTGCTGGTTGTGGCCTTAAGAGACCACGACCTAAAGGGGAGGGGAGTTCAGGAAGAGTGGTTGCTCCTCAAGGGAGCGAACCTGAAAGCACAAGCAATGTCTATCCCGTCTTGAAGGAAAGGCAGCAAAAGGGCACAGCAGCCCCTTTGGCGCTGCAGGGAACTAGTGGACCTCCTAAGACTAAAAAGAAAGGCCTATAAAGGATGGAAGGCTGGATCCACCCCAAAGGAGGAGTACTCTGCACTGGTCGAGACCTGCAGGGAGTGAACCAGGAAAACCAAGGCTGCAACTGAACTCCAACTGGCTGCACATATCAAAGACAATAAAAAGTCCTTTTTTAGATATGTAGGGAGCTGAAGGAAAAGCAAGGGTAACATTGGACCCCTGCTAAACCATACTGGTCAACTGACAACCGATGCCCAGGAAAAAGCCAACCTGCTCAGTGGGTATTTTGCATTGGTTTTTCACCAGCCCCAAGGGACGGCCTTGCTCAATACAGTATGGGACAGCCAGGGTGAGGGAGAGCTGTTATCCTTCATCAATGTTGACCATGTGAAGGAACACCTTGAGAGGCTGGACACCTTCAAGTCAGCTGTCCTAGACAGCTTACATCCCAGGGTACTTAAGGAGCTGGCAGGCATCACAGCTCAGGCACTAACACGGATCTTTGAGAACTCGTGGTGCTCAGGCAAAGTGCCCAAAGATTGGAAGAAGGCCAATGTGGTGCCTATCTTCAAGAAAGGGAGGAAAGTAGATCCGGGGAACTACAGGCCCATCAGCCTGACCTCCATCCCTGGGAAGATCTTGGAGAAAATCATCAAAGAGACCATTCTTGACAAACTAGCTGAAGGCAACTTCTTATGGGATAGCCATCATGGGTTTGTTGTAGATAGGGCTTGCCTGAACAATCTCATCTCTTTCTATGACCAGGTGACATATCACCTGGACAAGGGAGAAGAGATTGACGTCATATATCTCAACTTTAAAAAAGTTTTCAATCTGGTATCCTATAATCATCTTATAGAAAAACTGGCCAATTGTGGCCTCAGCTACATCACAGTCTGCTGGCTGAGGAATTGGCTTTTAGGTCGGACCCAGAGAGTAGTAGTTGACAAAAGTCAATCACTGTGGTGCGCCATGACCAGTGGGGTCCCCCAAGGCTCCATCCTTCAGTCTATCCTTTTCAACATCTTCATTAATGATGTGGACATTGGTGTCAGAAGTGGACTGGCCAAGTTCACTGATGACATCAAACTTTGGGGAAAAGCATCCACACCCGAGGACAGGATAGTGATCCAGACCAACCTTGACAGACTCAGAAAATGGGCAGATGAAAACTTATGGCCTTCAAGTCTGAAAAATGCAAGGTACTCCACCTTGGGAAGAAAAACCCACAGCATGCTTATAGGCTCGACAGTGCTATGCTTGCTAGCACCACGGTCAAAAGGGACTTGGAGGTCACGACTGACCACAAAATGAATATGAGCCACCAATGTGATGTTGCAGCCAGCAAAGTGAGCAAAACTCTGGCTTGCATCCATAGATGCTTCTCTAGCAAATCCCAGGATG